GTCCCCAGAGAAAGAGCTAATACAACTGGGAGCACTGGCCACAGCGCAGGGGTGTTTGGGCTACACTAGCAGAGAGAAAGGTCTCACCCAGCAGAGGCAGAAAGGAAGGTGGCACCCTGGTGCCTAGGAGAGGTGTAGCCTGTGTAGTTGGCTTCCTGAGGGACATATCAGTGGGGCGCCTGGGTGACTCAGTCAGTTAAGCATCTGACTCTTGATTTCAGCTCAGGTCACAATCTCACTTTTGAGTTCGAGCCCTGCATTGGGCTCTGCGCTGAGAGTGAGGAGCCTGCTTGCGATTCGGTCTCTCCCCTCTCTCTCTGCCCCTACCTTGCTTGCTCTCTCTCTCAAAATAAATAAACTTTTAAAATGTTAATATAATGGGGCGCCTGGGTGGCTTAGTCAGTTAAGCGTCCGACTTTCACTTAGGCCATGATCTCGCGGTTCGTGGGTTCGAGCCCCGTGTTGGGCTCTGTGCTGACTGCCAGCTCAGAGCCTGGAGCCTATTTCAGAGTCTGTGTCTCCCTCTCTCTAACCCTCCCCTGCTCACGCTGTCTCTCTCTCTGTCTCCTAGAAATAAATAAAAATATTAAAAATAAAATAAAATAAAATGTTAATATAATGGACCTATCAGCGAGTAGAGCCATACCCCGGGCATCCAGGCAGGTCTCCATATTAGGTACTACCCATGGAGGGGAGGGAGAAGGATGGAAGAGCAGGTACTGAACTCCCTTTTAGTCCCAAGGGTAGTGGCGGCTAGCTTAAAGCTCCTATGGTGTCTGTCCAGCCCACAAGCCACCTTTCTTCTTGGAAACTAACCCCTCCCACAGAGAGGTGACCACAGCAGCCATATTTTATCCATAAAACTTCATCTCTCCCGCTAAACTGATTGGACCAGGGGTACAAAACTGACCCAAGTTGGGTCAGTAAGATTCTCTCTCTTTTTCAACAGTTTTATTGAGATGTAATGCATACATCATACAATTCACCATTTTAAAGTATACAATTCAATGGCTCTTAGTATATTCACAAGGCTGTGTGGACTACTATCTAGTCCTCGGACATTTACATCACCCCACATAGAAACCTGTATCCTTTAGCACTCACTCCCCCTAACAACCTCCCCAGCCCTAGGAAACCGCGAATCTATTTTGTGTCTCTATGGAGTTACTCATTCTAGACATTTCATATAAGTGGAATCACACAATATGTGGTTGTGGTGTTCACTCAGCATAATGTTTCCAAAGTTCATCTACGTTGTAACATGTGTCAGTATTTGATTTCTTTTGATGGCCAAATGATATGCCATTGTATTGATGTGTCACATTTTGTTTACCCATCCATCTGTTGATGAACATTTGGATTGTTTTCACTTTGGGCCATTATTTATTAATCATGTCACCATGAACATTCGTGTTACAAGTTTCTATGTGAACATATATTTTCATTTCTCCTGGGTATATACATAAGAAAGGAATTCTAGTCATATGGTAACTCTGTATTTAACCTTTTGAGAAACTGCCAGATTGTTTTCCAAACCAGCTGCACCATTTTATGTTCCCAGCAGCAGTGAACAAGGGTTTCGGTTTCTCCCCATTCACACCAACACTTGCCATTATCTTGCTTCTGATTATAGTCATTCTAGTGGGTGTGAGGTAGTATCTCACTGTGGCTTTGATGTATATTTCCTTGACGGCTAACGATGCTGAACATCTTTTCACGTGCTTATTGTCCATTTATGTATCTTCTTCAGATATGATTTGCAAATATTTTCTCCCACTCTGTTGGACTGACTTTTCACTTTCTTGATGGTGTCCTTTGTAACACAAAAGTTTTTAATTTGGATGAAGTTCAATTTATCAATTTGTTGTTGTTCCTTATGTTTTTGGTGTCATATCTAAGAAACCACTGCCTTATTTGAAGTCACAAAGATTTACTCCTATGTTTTCTTCTAAGAGTTTTATAGTTTTAGCTCTTACATTTAGGTCTTTGATCCATTTGGAGTTAATTTTTGCATATGGTGTGAGAGAGGGGTTCCGTCTCATTCTTTTAGATGTGGCTGCAGCCGTCCCAGCACCACTTGTTGAAAGGCTGTTTTTCTCCATTAACTGTCATGACACATTTGTTGAAAAATCAACTGACCACAAAATTTCTGGACTCTGAATCCTGTTTCATTGATCTAAATACCATCCTTACACCAGTACTGAACCATCTTGATTTAGCAGCCTCGTACTAAATTTCAAAATCAGGAAGTACAGTCCTCGAATTCTGTCTTTCTTTTTCAAGACTACCTATAAGTTTAGGGGTGCCTGGGTGGCTCAGTTGGTTCAGCGTCTGACTGATCTCACTCAGGTTATGATCTCATTTCTTGGGATCGAGCCCCACATCAGGCTCTGTGCTGATAGTACTGAGCCTGCTTGGGATTCTTTCTCCCTCCCTCCCTCCCTCTCTCTGCCCCTCCCCCACTTGTATGCTTCCCCCCACTTTCTCTCTCAAAATAAATAAATAATCTTAAAAAAAAAAAAAAAGAAAAGAAAGAAAGAAAAGACAACCTTAAATTTCCATACAAATTTTAGGATCACTGGAGCAATTACTACAAAGAAGTCAACAGGAAGTTTGACGGGGAGGCTCTCCAGTTCCCGTTCAACCCCTGCTTAACTCTAGCTCTATCTCCTCCCCTGGGTTCCCTGAGACACCCTGGAACGTTTTCTGTAATTCCCTTAATTTTGCTTAACCAGATTACACTGAGTTTTTCTTTCTTTTTTCTAAAATTTTTTTAATGTTTTATTTATTTCTAGGAGAGAGAGAGACACAGCGTGAGCAGGGGAGGGTCAGAGAGAGAGGGAGTCACAGACTCTGAAACAGGCTCCAGGCTCTGGGCTGGCAGTCAGCACAGAGCCCATCACGGGGCTCGAACCCACGAACTGCGAGACCATGACCTAAGTGAAAGTCGGACGCTTAACCGACTAAGCCACCCAGGCGACCCTGAGTTTTTCTTTCTTACAGTCAGAAGAATCTTAACCAAGTACAAGAACACAGCCCTACACACTGTCCCAAACAACCATCTTGGTACTACATCCCCAGGACCAAAGCCCTCAAACAGTCCCCCAGATACCCAGTCCCAATACTGGCCAGTGCCTCTGGCCTTTCACTGCTCCTTGTAACTAGTTCCCTTCCAGGTTACACACTTCATCTTTACCTGTTAAAAGGGCTCTCAATAAATGCTTGTGAAATTGAACTAAGTATCCCAAAACAACACCATAAGAAATATTCCTACCACTTCACCCCACTTAGTAACTCTGCTTCGTGCCTAATTCTCATTCAATATGCAGATAAGAAGCTCTAGGAAAATCAGACCTCATAGGCAGAGAAGGACAAATATCATATGTTTGCACGTATAGGAGGATTAGGAGGAACTTGACGGAGGAACAAGGGGGAGAAGAAGGGCGGAAATGGTGGGGGAAAGGGAGAGAGGCAAACCATGAGAGACTCTTGAATGCTGACAAAAACTGAGGACTGATGGATGTGGGGGGGAGGGGGGATGGGCATGGAGGAGGGCACTTTGGGGATGAGCACTGAGTGTTATGTGGAAAATAATTTGACAATAAACTATTTGTAAAAAAAAAAAAAAAAAAAAAAAAAGGAAAATCAGACCTCAGACAAAGGATGCAAACACCGAAGTCTGAAGAAATTAAATGCCTTGCCCATAAGTGATGACTTGCCCTGAACTCTGAGCCACACTGATGCACACCCCCCGCCAACCAGCATAGGCACAAGTGCACCCATTGTCCCATCCCAACTTCAAGAGCTGCTAGAGAGGCTACCCCCTCCTGGCAGTCTTCTAGGGCTGCTCCCACTGCAGAAAGCTCTCAGAAGTCAGGGACTGTCTGCCATTCATCCCTGTCCTGCTAACTGCTCACCCTCACTGTTCCGAGCAAAATAGCCTCTTATTCTCACCCCCTATATGCCAACTCTCAAGACCAGCTATGCTTTGCCCAGGGACCTGTACCCAGGGCATACACGGCCATTGCTAGCAACTAAATGGCACGGCAGAGGGAGGCCGGCCTAGAAAACCTTTCCGCTGAGACGGGGCATCATAAGTGGCCCGAGCTGCCTCTGAAGGAGAGCACTCATTGGAGGAATTTCTCATGCACCAGCTAATTCACACATGGCAGGATAATATTTTGGGCTGTGACCAATGCTATTTTTGCCTCCTAGAATTTCCCTCCTTTTCAATTCACTCAATTGGAGCAGGTGGTTGGTCAGTACTCATTGCCCAGAGAAGGGATGAAGATGGAAGCCAACTTTTTTAAAGTCTGAAGGAGGAGAGGGGATCAGGACGCAAACACAATGGTTTGATGATACATACACGTGGAAAAGGAGCAAAGATGGTGAGGGAAGAGCAGGTGGGGGTTCTGGGAGAGACGTGTGTCTGCTCAGGGCTTCCTAGACAGATGAGCAGACATATGGCCCACCGTGGCAGACAATCCCCAGCCCCCGGATCTGGTGTTGAAGCCTCAAAGAGCCGCAGGGCTGGACTCCTCAGGATGACATTCATCTGGTAACAGATGACTCAGTGACCAACTGACCACATGCACACTGGGGTGTTTTATGAGGCTCTAGAACTAGGTGGCACAATTCTCCAGGTAGGTAGGAATGACAGAAAGCCCGATGGAATGGGGGCTTCACATAATAATTAAGGAGATAGGAAATAAAATTATCTTTCTCCCGTCCACGTTATGGCCTAAAAGACATGACCATACACATTACCATCAATCTGGTGCCTGCTGCTTCCATTCTGGCATGCCTTTCTCCAGACGCCCCAGGAATCAAGAGCCTGGCCCAACCTCTCCAATCCAGAGCCCCTAAGGCTGAGACGGAGGATCTGATAAATGCTACAGCCCCACTCAGGCTCCCCACAACTCCAGGGGAAATGAGGGGCCCAGAGGGGCTCTGGCCTGCCATCATCTCTGATTGCTACATAACAGGAAGTGACTACTTACTTGACCTTCAGGCTCGCCAGCATGGTCTTGTCGATCCTGCCAAGAGAAAAGCAAGGGCTTTGGTCAGTGCCGAGGCTGAAGGCTACCACCTAGCATCTGCAGGGGAGGTCCCAGGCCAGTCTAGACCACCAGACTGGCAGAGTCCTGCAGGGGACAGCCACTCCAGCCAGGAGCTCCCCTCCAGCCCAGGAAGAGAGGGCTGTGAGCTCTGGGAGGGCTGGAGTCACATATAACCCTACGAGGCAGGCACCGTTATTCTTCCCAGTTTAGAAATGAGCAAACAGAGGCTTAGGAGGATAACATCACTGGCCCAGTCTGAATCTAGGTTCTGACTCCAAACCCAGAGACCCTTTGTATACAGCATCCCCCTTCATTGCTCCCTTGCCCCGGCTCCACTGCAAGCCAGCTCATTGGTCACCAGTGGCTGGGCATTCAACACATCCACATTCCCTGGGCTTCCGCTTTGGAAAGAGGCTAGCACCCCAGCACCCCCAGCACCGGGACCTTTTCTGGGAGCTGCCAGTCAATGCAAGGAGGCAGACCCCACTCCCGAGACAGAACCCAATGGCAGGCTCAGGGTGCACAGACAAGCGGGAACTGCGACACGAAGCTCAGAGCAGGGAAGCTCACACTCACAGCAGGCTGTCCTGACAGCCAGCCCCTCCACCCCAGGCTGCGCCCACCCTTGCTGGAAGACAAGGCAGTGCTGTTAAGCTTCTATTTTTACCCCGTGCAGATGCCAGCCCTTATGGCTGCTAAAAGAGGCCCCTTCCTCTCTCCAGACACAGAAAGGTGGGCGAGATCCCCACTGTCAGTATCTCTTCTTGTTTGGGGGTCACAACCACCCATGTCACCACCACCCCCATGTCATCAACACCACCATTGTCACCATCACCATCAGTGTCACCACACCTCCATGTCAGCATCACCATCAGTGTCACCATCACTATCGAGGTCACCATCACCCTCAGTGTCACCACCATCTCCTGTGTCACCATCACCAAAAATGCCACCCAAATCACCACCACGTCCAGGATGCTCGAAACCCTGGAAAGATCTCTCAGCCACCTGATCCTGACTGTTCAGCTTTGCCACAAGCATGCACACGACTATCAGGACGGGACGGGAGCAGTGTCAGAGGCCACGCGGGGAGGACACAGAGCTGCCGCAGCAATCACAAGTCAGCACCAAGCCCCTGAGCTGGGAGGAGGGACCCTTTCACTCTGAGTAAACTCCCAGCACCTTCTGATCTCAGTTCCCAGCAGCAAAACAAGCCACAGCCCAAAGCTCCTGGCCCAGGTCCCCCCAGCTTCTTCCCCACTGCACGCGGGGCCCCTTCCATGGAGCCTCCACAACTGGTCCCAACGGGTCCCACATGCCCCCTCTCCCAATCAGCCCACCACAGCGGGGAGGGTGAATCCAGGAGGCCGATGCCCCCATTCTGCTGCAATATTTGTAACCCACAGCTACAGAGCTACCTAACTGTAACCCCAACAATAAGCCTTTGCATTTCATGTTTTCTCAAGGAATCCCTTTTAATTCTTATAACATCCTGTGCATAAGGTGGAAATCCCCACTTACACATGGGGAAACTGAGACCCAGAGAGGGGAAGTGTCCCATCTGAGTTCCTCAATGAGCCAAGGTGGAGCCAGCACTAGTACCCAGACTTCTGGTGTGGCCCCCTCGCAACCCAACCCACACCCCGCCCTGTGGCACTGCAGGTCACAGCAACCCCTGGCCCAGCCCCCACATCCACACCTACCCGGCAGTCTGTCCACAGGGTTCCCACGCTGGGGTGTGGCCGTGGGAGGGCGGGGCCTGTGGCCTTAGCAGGGCTGAGACAGGAGATAGGCCAGTAGCTGTGAAACAGCTTTTCTCTTGCAGAAAGCCAAGCTCCCAAGGTTCTCCCTGGCACCTTCTCTCTCCTCCCCACCCCCTCTTCCCTCTCCTCACCTTGTCTTCTGCTGATGCCACTGGCTATCCACCCTGGCATCCAAAGGAGCTTCCAAAATACCAGCCCCTGAGATTCTGTTCACCGCGTGGAGTGGACCCGGGCTCCAGGGATCTGCGCTTTAGTCTCCAAGCCTCCCAGCTGGCAGCCACTTCCAGATGACGCCTGCCCTAACCCTCCAGGCCCACTAGGAAGCCCTACGCCCCCTTGGATTCAATGAGCCCCTACCCAACGCCTGTCGTGGGCAAGAAACACTTCACTTAGTCGTTCCATGAGCATGTGCACGTGCCACACAGTTCCTCGTTCTGCTCTACGCCTCCCAGAGAAGGGCGGGTCTCAGAGGGCACCCTCTCATGGACTGAGCCCTGCTCTGTAGCGACCCCAGCCAGCCTGACTGGGAAGCAGACAAGGTGACTTGGACCCAGAGCTCACGCTTGGGACAGGAACCCCTTGGCCCCGCCGTCAGGGAAGACCTGTGAGTGGGCACTAGGCCACACTGTGCCACCTCTAGCATCATCTCATCCTTGCTGTCCCCATCTGCCAAACATGGGACACCCATAAGCTCTTCTGCCAGAGGACGGACGGCAAAGAGCCTTCAAAGAGGAGGAAAAGGGAAGTCAGAAGCTGCACACACACAGAGGCATAATCAGTCGAAGGAGTGGAGCCCACCTCCTGCCAGACCCTGTGCCCCCTCCTTCTGTCCCTTGCCTCTCCGCCTCCCCCAATTTGCCCACCAGTCTCCACACCAGGGCACCCCTGGCCACCCTCCCTGCAACAGCAGGAATATTTGACAAGGCCCCAGGCCCACAAGCTGAAAGGAAACCGATAATGAAAACCACTAGACCCCATTCCCCAGCTGAGGAGAAGTTACCAGCGGCTGGTAACCATAGACAAGTCTTTGACCTTGGTCTCCCGGGTTGCTGGCCCCCCGGGGAGGAAAGAGCCTCTCCCTTGTCCCAGACAGAAGCTTAGTGGCAAAAGGTGGCCCAGAAGCCCAGGCAAGAGGCACTAACCCAGCTGGGACAGAGCTGGGATTGGCTGCCCGGGTGGGGGCGGGACCTGTGGAGATGGGTGTGCCCCGTTTTTTCCACCTATGCCATGGAGAGGACCGGGCCCCAAGGTCCACTGTGCAGGAGATGCCCCACCACAACGTCATGTACGGAGCTGACACAGACAGGAACGCGGCACACCTGCACAGACGAGAGCACACGAAGCTCGAGAAGCCCAGACGTGCACACATACCTGTTCAGAAGCGCAGAGTGCACGCGTGGTCACACACACAGCACACCCACCCAGCCAGGCACACACTTCATACCTGGCTGTACAGACTGGCAGCTGCAGACATGCCACACACACATCGGAACAGACACAGACACACACGTTCAGCCACAGCCACGCAGCCTTGTTCACACTGGCTCCAGCTCCAACCTTCCTGACTCCCTAGGTCCTACTCCAGGGTGAGTGACGGAAAGCTAGTGTCTGGTACCCTGGCCCCCTCCATCCAGCCGTGGCATCTGCAAAGCCCCCCTACCCACCTGGGTCTCAGGCACAACCCTAGCCCTCTGCCTGCACAGGCAACCCCAGCAGACGCAAGACTTGGCAGCTAGGTTCGCTCCCATCCCTCCAACCGCCGTCCCATCTGTCACCCACCATCCGAAGCCCCCAAAGGAGACGCTGCGTTTCCTGCGAAACATGGCTGTGGCCGTGGGGCCCCGGAACCCAGCGATGTCCCCAGGACTGTTGGCAAAAGGGTGGCAGTGCAGCAGGGTCAGCGGGGCCACAGGCACAGGGCGGGACACTGGGCGTGGCACCTCCGCACTGCCTGCCCCCAACCCCAGCACTTCCTGTGGGTGAGGCCTTGGGGCTGGGAGGTGTGTCTTGCCCTCCTGGAGGCACCCAGGAGGCAGGGGAGGTCACAGAGGGCAGCTTCCCCATGCCCAGAGGAACCCGCAGCTCCGGAAGGGGCTCGGCTGGCAGATTGCATCACAGACCATGCTGGCAGCTCGGCTCCACACAGCCGTGCTTCCCGGAGCCCCTGGGAGGCCAGAGGACTCCCACAGATGTGCCTGGAACGGAGAGAAAGAGCTCACTGGAAGGTTGGGGAGCCCAGCAGACGGCCCCGCACCCCCGCTCCCTGCGGCTGCCCGGGATGGGACCTCTGCCTTCCTGGCCCACCGCAGCTCAGCACACACCAGATGAACCAGCCTCACACAGGTTAGGACACCCACACACTGTCCTCCCACGAGCACAGGGTCACGTACATGTGCACATACAGACGCACAGGACCCACAGGTGCACACAGGCATGCTGACATAAGTGTCGTTACACACCCACACACACATGAGCACAGGTACTGCACACTCACATGCAGTTCATACAGACTCCACAGAGTCACCTGCACGTACATCTCATATACACAGAACTACCCACGAAACAGGCTCACACATGGACGCAGACCCACGTGCACACGCTCAGACTGCACACACGCCCCTCAAGACATTCACACGTACCCACGCACAGTCACAGATCTGTACTTCTCAGAACCCCTCGAGTGCCTAGACAGAGGTCAGCAGTGGGAAGGTGACACGTGTGTGCAAGTGTGTTTCTTTCTAGCTGGGACAAAAAGCTAGCCCTCATCTCTGCACCAGTGCTGACCATGGCAGGTATGCAGCAGGTGCTCACTAATGACAGCCCATGGAGGGCCGTGGCACATATGCTACCACAGACTCGGTGGGGGGACACAGGCGGGGACGGGCCCCCGCCCTGCCCCTGGGCAGTGGAGAATGGGAAATAAAGCTACCGTGGCTGCTGCCACTGGCCTCTCTCACTGGCCTACCCTCCCCACAGTTTCCCGGTTGGGGTCCACTGCCACCCCGGGTTTTGGATCTGTACTGTGAGACCAAAGGGCCTCTCCCCCACCCCTCCCAGGTCATAGACAAAGGGCACAAGCATTTCTATGGACTCCCCTGAAGCAGCGAAGGCTACATGGGCCGTAGGAGCAGCTTCAGGGGCAGTTCAGGTCTGGGCGTGGCAAGGGCGGGGCCCTTTCCTCTAACGCAGCGGGCCTCTCAGCAGAAGCCTGGTCCTCAGTTCAGGCCGCATCCTCCAACCCCACCTTCACCCAGAAAGGAAGGATGGTGTGCTTCACCCTCTGGGGTTGCGTCAGACCACTGGCTCCCTGCTGGGTTCCCACCCCACGCCCAGACCTCTCCCCACACTGCACCCCCACACAGATGTTCAAAAGGCACCATCGACACCTTGGGTCCTGCCTGCCCTGCATCCACTCAGCCGCCCTCTGAGTAAAACAGTTCTGTGCTCCATCCACCCCCAGAGGGAGCACCTGGCCAGCCTGACCACCCAGGGTACCCAGTAACTAGCTCAGGAGTGGGCAGGAGAAGCCAGTGGACCCAACAAGACTCACTCCCAGAGCACACCCTTCTCCTGCCGAGGCTGCTAAACCATAGGATGGAAGCACCACGCAGAGGAGAGCAGGGGCACGAACGGCCACACAGTGAGCAGGAGAAGGATCCGGTCTTCAGGGCATCATCAAACCTCCTGAAGGGGCGCCTGGGTGGCTCAGTCCGTTTGGCATCCGACTCTCGGAATCGGCTCAGGTCATGATCTCCCAATTAGTGGATTCAAGCCCTGCACCAAGGCTCTGAGCTGTCAGAGGCTATTTCAGATTCTGTGTCTCCCTCTCTCTCTGCCCCTCCCCCACTCATGCGTGCCCTGGCGCTTGCTCACAGTCTCTCTCTCTCTCTCTCTCTCAAGTAAATAAACAATAAAAAAAATTTGTTTTAAATAGAGCTGAATTTCTCTCACTCTCCACGGAGGAAGTCCCAACTAAGAGGGAGAGTCTGATGAGAGCAAGAGTGAAGGTCAGAAAGGCCCATGGCCGCTCAGCCTGCCGCCTCACCAAGTCTGACTCCAGGCCAAGCACCGCGCTGGGTGCAGAGAGTGGCAGGGCGAGAGCCCGGGCCTGGGAGTCATGTGCGTTACTAACAACATGTTTCCTGTTGCAAATTACTTACTTTTTCATCAATTAGAGGGAGTTCAGAGTGAACCCATCATGGGAGCACGTCATCTGGCGTGCTTCTGTGTGGGAGAGAATGAAGTGGGGTTATACCAATATGCTGGGGCTCTTCCAAGCACGCGTCATCTAGTCCAATCTGTCCACACATGTGACCCTGTGTTCCTGCTGTCCGTCATCGTATTCTAGGGGAAGAGGCAGCTGAGAGGCGCGCTTGGGCCGGTCCTCGCGGTCTCCAGACACCCAGGTGAACACGCAGGCCACAACCCAGTAGGGATGCAGGCCTGGGTGCGAGCATCTGGAGGTCGGGCAGGGCGGGCGCCCTGGGGAACAGGCAGGGAAGAGCGTGTCAAGGCCCCCCGCTGCTGCCACCTAGAGGCTGGATTCTCCCACCTCAAAAGGCAGGGAGTTATGCAACTCAGCCGCTTGGCGGAGGAGCAGCAATAGCCTGCCTGTGTCAGCAGGAAGGGCACAGGACTCACAGCGTCCTGGATGTCCTTGAAGTCACTAAGATCTGGGAACCATGGAGAGTCCAGATGCCCCACACCCGCCTCACTCCAGAGTGAGGGCCTGGAGGGAGACAAGGAGGTTCCCAGATGGCTTATGTTTTACTCTCTGAGCTCCAGAGGGAGGCAAGAGCCATTCTAGAGCATCTTTCACTCTCTTTTCCTCAGCGCCAGGCTCCCACGCTTTGGAGCCACATGACCACCAACACATAACCTAACCTCCAAGGCCTCAGTTTCCTCCTCTGTGATATGGTTGGCTGCCACCAAGCTCACAGGGTTACAAATACATGTATACATTTAGCACAGGCCTCCCACACCATTATGGGAGCTATTATAATGATTATCTATAACAATTCCACCCCCTCCTCTGGTCCTGCTCAGCTTCCTGTCGCCCCTGCTCTGAGCCCTCAGTTCCTCTTCTGTGTGGGGGTGGGCAGCGAGGGGTCTGAAGGCTCCCTGGGAAGGGTTGTGAGTCAAGAGAAAAGAGAAGCACTCTGAGCGCCAGGCCCTGCCTCCTACCCCCACCAAGCACGGCCCAGCTTCCTCCCTGACCCCAGCTGACTCGATCATCAGGCCATCAGCATGGAGACCAGGACAAGCTGTGGGGGCAGAGGAGCCAAGGGCAGCGCCTGTATCTGCGAGTGTGCTATGGGCCAGGCCCGAATTACCCGCGTGGCTCCCTTCGATCTCACAGCCACCTCTGAGATGATACCACCGTTATCCTCATTTTACAGATGAGGACGCTGGGGCCCGGAAAGGTTAAGGAACTTGACAAAACTTGCCTGGCCCAATGGTGGCAAGGCGAGGTCTGATTCCAGACACCAAGTTATCAGACACTGTTCTATGTGATGATCTGCATCGGCAAGTGCCGATCACCAGATCAAACTTGCCCCTTTGGAACCTACACAAACGCCCATTCACACAGTGCCCGTTTTACAGACGGGGGAGCCTAAGAAAGACAAGCACAGCTCAACGACTAAGAGAAGACAAAGGTGAAGTCAGAAAGACGAGTGCCCGAGTCCTTCCAACACCAGGCTAGACCGGCTTCTTCTGTCCTGAGGTCACGCCTTGCCCCGTCCACAAAGCCAGCTCTGGGTCACCAAATCACAAGGCTTCTCTGGTGGAGGCCTGTGGGCGTTCCTGGTCCAGCTGGGAAATAAGTCCCAGCCAGAGCCCCAGGCTCAGGACAGAGCTCCAGGGGCCCCACCCAGCTCTCCTCCTTAGAGGACTGTGGAGCTGAGAAAGCCGGCTGGGGTCGGAGGAGGAGGAAGCCCGAGCCCCCCGCAACAGCCCCTCGGCCCTGTGGGCAGGCCCTCGGTGGCAAGAGGGAAGGGGAAGACCGTGTGGTTTCCTCTACTTGGACAGCTCTGTCCTCACAGCCGCTAGTGAGAGCTGAAAGAGGAGACAAACTCCGTTCCCAGGCACGGGGAGAGCAGTTACAGGAAGCGCAGGAAACAGATGCCCCTAGAGAAGCGGGCACTACATCATTTGGCCTAGATCCTCCCCTGCTCCACACAGCATGAGCCACCAGGGGTGACCAGCTGGGGCTCAGCTCTCCTCCCACCTCCACTAAACCACCTTGAGCGGGCCATGTGGGGGCTTGGGGCTTCAGTCGAACTTTCCTCCAAGGGGGGCCAGATTCACCCCTGCTTCCTTCATAAGCTGGGTGAGGACAAAGGACAGTGGCAGAGAAGGGCATTCTGATCTCCAGGAAACAGGGTGCGATGGCACCCTCAGAGCCAGCAAACCGGCAGCAGTTAGCAATCCACACTTCGGAGATTGAGACAAAATGACGTGTAACATCTGCACTGTGATTTACGGCACGCCGATCACCTCCCAAAGCACACTGTCTCTAGGGCTACACTGAATTTCCCATTGTGTGAGTTCTGCAAAGCAAGGCGATGACAAAAAACTGCAAGAGCAGTGCTCGTGGAAAGCAGACTCCAAGAGCACAGCCCTGAGCCGTGACCACGGGGTTTGTTCTGATCTGCGCAGTACTGCGAGCAGCACACGGCTGCCGACTAAAAGGCCATCAAGTGTATCACAGCTTAAAATCTCTTAAATAACGACAAGGTGTCCCTTTTGCCCATCAGATAGTAAAGGTTAAAAGAAACCTCAGCAATGATATGCGGACATAAGGACACGGGCACTCCGACCATGGGTGAAGATATTTGGCAATATCTATCAAAACTTCAAGAGCACACACCCTTCATGCCAACAATTTTATCT